AAAACTCTCAACAAGATGGGTATAGAGAACAAGTACTTCAACATAATAAAGGACAATATATGACAAACCCACAAGCTACATCATACTTAACAGTGAGAAGCTGAACGCTTTTCCTCTAAGATCGGGAACAAGACAAGGATGCCCACTTTTCACACTTCTATTCAACATACTGGGGGTCCTAGCCACAGCAATCAAACAACACAAAGAAATAAAAAGCATCCAGATTGGCAAGGAAGAAGTTAAACTGTCCCTGTTTGCATATGACAAGATATTGTACATTAAAAACCCTAAAGAATCCACACTCCAAAACTACTAGATCTAATATCTGAATTCAGCAAAGTTGCAGGACACAAAGTTAATACACAGAAATCTGTTGCATTCCTATACACTAACCATGAACGAGCAGGAAGACCAATCAGGAAAACAATTCCATTCACAATTGCATCAAAAAGAATAAAATACCTAGAAATAAACCTAACCAAGGAAGTGAAAGACCTATACTTTGAAAACTACAAGATACTCATGAGAGAAATTAAAGAAGATACCAATAAATGGAAACACATCCTGTGCTCATGGATAGGAAGAATTAATACTGCCAAAATGGCCATCCTGCCTAAAGCAATCTACAGATTCAATGCAATTCCTATCAAAATACCAACAGCATTCTTCAATGAACTAGAGCAGATCGTTCTAAAAGTCATGGAACCACAAAAGACCCCGAATAGCCAAAGCAACCCTGAGAAGGAAGAATAAAGCTGGGGGGATTATGCTCCCCAACTTCAAGCTCTACTACAAAGCCACAGTAATCAAGACAATTTGGTACTGGCACAAGAACAGAACCACAGATCAATGGAACAGACAGAGAGCCCTGATATAAACCCAACCATATATGGACAATTGATATGGTATGAAGGAGCCATGGACATACAATGGGGAAATGACAGCATTTCAACAGCTGGTGTTGGCAAAACTGGACAGCTATATGCAAGAGAATGAAACTGGATTATGGTTTAACTCCATACACAAAAGTAAACTCAAAATGGATCAAAGACCTGAATGTAAGTCATGAAACCATAAAACTCTTAGAAGACAACATAGGCAAAAATCTCCTGAATATAAGCATGAGCAACTTTTTCCTGAATGTGTCTTCTTGAGCAAGGGAAACAAAAGCAAAATTGAACAAGTGGGACTATATCAAACTAAAAAGCTTCTGTACAGCACAGGGCACCATCAACAGAACAAAAAGGCATCCTACAGTGTGGAAAAATTTATTTGTAAATGACATATCCAACAAGGGTTAACATTGAAAATATATAAAGAACTCACATGCCTCAACACACAAAAAGCAAATAACCCATTTAAAAAATGGGCAGAGGATATGAAGAAACAATTCTCCAAAGAAATTCAGATGGTCAACAGGCACATGAAAAGATGCTCCACATCACTAATCATCAGGGAAATCCAAATTAAAACCACAATGAGATATTACCTCACACCAGTAAGGATGGCCAGCATTGAAAAGACTAAGAACAACAAATGCTGGTGAGGATGAAGAGAAAGGAGAACCATCCTACCCTGCTGGTGAGAATGTAAGCTAGTTCAACCATTGTGGAAAGCAATATGGAGGTTCCTCAAAAAACTAAAAATAGAAATACCATTTGACCCGGGAATCCCACTCCTTGGAATTTACCCAAAGAATACAACTTCTTAGATTCAAAAAGACATATGCATCCCTATGTTTATCGCAGCACTATTTACAATAGCCAAGATATGGAAGCAACCTGAGTGACCATCGGTAGATGAATGGATAAAGATGTGGCACATATACACATTGGAATACTATCCAACCATAAGAAAGAAACAAATCCTACCACTTGCAAAAACATGGATGGAGCTAGAGGATACTATGCTCAGTTAAATAAGCCAAGCGGAGAAAGACAAGTGCCAAATGATTTCCCTCATTTGTCGAGTATAACAATGAAGCAAAACTGAAGGAACAAAACAGCAGCAGACTCAACAGAGTCCAAGAAGGGAGTAGTGGTTACCAAAGGGGAAGGGTGTGGGAGGGTGTGTAGGGAGGGAGAAGGGGATTGAGGGGTATTATGTTTAGTACATAGGGTGTGGTGGATCACAGGGAAAACAGTGTAGCACAGGGAAGGCAAACAGTGTATCTGTGGCACCTTACTATACTGATGGACAGTGACTGCACCTGGGGTATAGGTGGGGACTTGGTAATATGGGTTAATGTAGTAACCACATTGTTTTTTCATGTGAATCCTTTATAAGAGTGTATATCAATAATACCTTAACAAAATATTTAAAAAATATAAAAAAAAGAAATGTAAACTTAAATAAGATTGTAAAAGTGTTAGAATATATTTTTATAATCGTATGATTGACAAGCCCTATGTAAATAAGCCGCAAGACCCAGAAAAGCAGATTTGACCACAATTAAAATTTAAAACTTAAAACTAAATACCATAAACAAAGTTGAGACAGCTCAAGAATATTTTATATATGTATTATATATAAGCATAAGTATACCTATATTTAATACACACACTTGTAATATTAAAGGATTAAAAACCACAGTATATAAACCTCCTATAAATCAGTAACACCTACCGAATAGAACAGGCAAATGTATGAACAGGCAATTTTCAAAACATGGATATATGAAAATATAGTTAATGATAAAATATCATCATAGTAATCGTAAGAACACAAGTCAAAATTATTTTTTTATTCTTCACGAGCATCTTTCTAAATTAACAATATTTAATGTTACCAGAATATGCTAAACCATCACTCCCATGAACTGTTGGTAGAAGTATAAACCAGAGCTCCTTTCCTTAGAAAACAATCTGTCAATAGCTGTCAAAATTTAAATCCACAACCTTCAACCCAAAAAGTCTTTATCCAATAATCTAACCATAGAAAATCTTAGAGAAGTCACAAGTGTTGTATTGAACATTCTTTGATGTATACCTGTACATAATAAAGAAAACCTGGTGACCCGAATTCCCATTAATACAGTAATAGGTTAAGTTATGACTCATCCATCTGTAGCAGACATCTTTATTTTTGCATGTAAAGCAGCCCTGCCATCTTCCAACAAAAGAACCCACCTTTTTCGTCTAGAAACCGCTCTTCCACCACCTGGAGAGTGAGTCAATCACTATTCCACCCTTCTCCGTAAGAGTGAAAATGTGATCCAATGAGAACAGATGATGTCATTTCTCAGGTTTTATAGTGACTGGTCAAAGGACAAGCATACAATACAGGCAGATCTCACCTGATGCTATGTCTCTCTTCCTTCTGGGGCCATAAAGACTGGGGTTGTTGAGGGAACATTTTTATCACCATCCAGAAAAAGCCAACCTGAGGACAAAACCAACACCAGGAAAAGCAGGACTGAAAGGACGGGCCCCTAGCCACACCTCAAACCAGCTCTGGACTTCAGACCTCCTTGTTCCAGAAACCAACCCTCACAAGCATGAGTTGGGTTTTTAATCACTTGCAAATGAAAGAATTCTGATAATGGAGTATAAAAGAATCACCAAAAGAATGAAGTCAAACTTTATGTATATAGACTTCTACAATATGTTTAGGGAAAATAGCAAAAGTAATTTTCAGAGCATTATCATACTATGCATTTCATTGTTCTTAAAGGATATATCCTTTTCTACTAAGACTGATAACTAAGAACAGAGATGTTCATTTTACCACATAAAAGACTTTAAAATTTTTGTAAATATGTAATTTTTTAAATCACAGAATAAAATTAAATGTTATAAAATTAAATGCTATGTATAAACTTGGCTAATCATCAATTTTATCCTATCTTAATTTCCAAAGACTGTGGAACATTTCTTCTAGAAAGGAATAGAATAACAGCAAATCGAATTATAAAGAAACACAAGTGAGATTGCTTGTAGGAAATCATCAGAGATTTATATAAAAGTTTCTTCTCCAATCTCCCTCTGAAGAACCAAATCTGGAAAGCAGATACTCGCCATCCTTCTACAACTAGATGTTATAGAAGTCCCAGAAAAGTGGGTTTATACACTTGAGATCAAATGACCTCTACCTAAATGAATTAAAATAAATTCATATATGTATCTGTAGCAAAGTAAGAATAAGAAACAGGGAGGTACTTCTAGGGAATCTTAAATAAAGAAAATACTCAAATCAAGGTACTACTTTGCTACCTTTATCTGCCATAAATTCAAGGTCACACTAAGGGTAGATAATAAGAACAGGACATATGGTAATTCAATCAACACAGAAGACAGTCCTTTTTCCATGCCAATGTTTTCACAATTGTCAAATCCACATTCTTCCAGAGCTCTCTCTATATTCCCTATACTATGCCAGCTGAGATACTCAATTCTTCACAATTAAGGAAAAATGCACTCTCTGTAACTTAAATAAGAATACATTATGCCTATTAACTAATAACTTATCACGTGAATAAAAATTAATATAAGCTTAGATTTAAACTAAGATAAAAATGAAATCTGGAAAACTATGTTATAAAAGGGAATGAAGAAAGTAGTAACTCTACTTACCTAGCTACTTGTCATTCTCTTGACACTGGCAAACTACAATAGAATATGTAAAATCTAAACTCCAAGATAAAGTGGAAAGTAAACTGAAAAGTCAATTTGATTTATTTAAGTTGAATCAATGGTTTTTAAATCAATATTTAGCTCAAATTGATGCAAAATTAATTAGCATAAACAGGATTTAAAAGGGGTAAAGGAAAATGAATTCAATGGTCAAAAAATCCAACAAAAATCCTTCTACATGTAGTTGCTTCTAAAAAATAAGAATTATGATTTATTCAAATTTAAGAAACAATCACCCTGAGGAAAAAAATGTAATACTCTTGCTGAATACTAAAAAGATATCAAAATATTGTGTATACTTCAAAGGATCATATATGGCCCATAGTGCATTTGGAAAAAGATAACAAGATTCATTTTATTATTTGATCATTATAATTTTAATCAGTAGGCATATTAATGTCACATATATTTTCTTAATATATTTTTAAAAGTTGTGTTTTACAATATGATATCAAGAACACAGAACTGATAAAGGCTGTATAGAAAACCATTTTGACTGTGTAAGATATTTGGTCAGAATACTGTTATGATGAAAAAGCAGCTCCTTCTTTTTAATCACTCATACTCAGCAATAGTGAAAATGCTCTACATACACATTAGCTTTGAATAACACATTTCATTTCTGCTTCAAACCTGCTATGCTATCCATTACTCCTTTGATGATTACATAGCTCAACATAAAAATGCATCCCACTTAAATTCTCAATAATAAGTCTGATTAGGTAGATAACCTCCCAATCATAAAAGCTTTTATTTTAAGACAAGTATTATGCAAATACAACATGAAAATCAGACTCACTGTAACTGGGATAAAAGGACAACTATGAGAACACTGCATATTTGACACATATTGCATTTTTGTGCACTCACCCTGCATTCTGCCTTTCTTCCTCCTCCTTGAAGTGCTAAATTAAAGTGTATTTACACTAGAAAGTTACTAATGGGTTTTACAGGAGAGAACTATATTTGAAAAAGCAAGACTTTCTAGATAAGAAATATCCTAAAATTTTCTGTTTTATGTTTTTATGATCTTTCTTATAAAAATGGAGAGTTTTATGTGCAACACCTGCAGATAGAAATAAATCTACATTTCACTCAAACCCAGTTGAATATATCAAATATAAAATACAGACATGAAGAGAGCTATGACAGCAGCAGTGATTCTTGGGGCAGCATGTGCAAAATCCAGTATTTTGCTATCTATTTACATCACAGTGGTCAGAAAAGAAATGTGCCAAAACTCCCTTTCCCATTCCACTTGAACTGGTTCCCCAGAATTGAAACAAACATCTCTTGTGACATTATGTTGTCATCAGCTTGTGTGATGCCCAGTTCACTCAACCGTTTCTTCTTTATCTGGCCTTTTTGTGTGGAGGCAGCAACTAGTTCATTAACAATTTCAAAATTGCCTTCAACTTGCTCAGAAAGGTCGGATCGTGCAAAAAGCTCCATTTTACCAGTTGCACATTGAATCAGGTCTTCTAGATCCACTCTTTCAGCTGTATCTGCCTCTCCACTTGTCTGATTTTTAGGTGTTGTACTTTCTGGAAAGACACAAATTATAACAAAGTTAACAAACCAAACTAACCCAAGTAAAACATGTGTTTTTACAGTCTATTAGAGTTTTCAACTTTTTTCTACCAAGGAGTCCTGTCATCTGACTGGATTTTAAAAACACTTTGCCATAAGCATCTCAACAAGCAGTTGTCTTATTCTTCATACCAAAGTTTCCTGGACCTCAGAAAGGATTACCAAGTTTAAATTCTTTTCTTTTATTAACCTAGAATCTCACTCACTCAACAGACCTTTCCTGGATACTTACATACTAAGCACTGTTAGAAGCTCAATGCAAAGATTAATAAGACAGCACTACTTTTCCTAAAGCAACTCCCAATCTAACAGCTAATTCTCATATTACAAATGAGTGCTACGATGGTCAGAATTCTAGATGGCCCCATGATGCCCACACCCTGGTGTTACTTTCATGATTATTAAATGGCAAAAGGATTTTGCAGATGTAATTAAGGTTACTAATCAGTTGATCTTAAGATAGTTCGGGTACATCTAATCTAATCATATGAGCCCTTTAAAAACAAGGTTTTCTCTGGCTGGATGAAGAAGAGGAAAGCATGAAGAAGTCAAAGCATGAGAGAGATTTTCCTTGAGGGAGGTTCTGTTGCTGAGATGGGAGAGGGTCATGAGCTAGAGCCTGACAGCAGTCTCTAGGAGCTGAGAGCAATCCCCAAACCCCAGCAGAAAAAAAAAAAAAATGTATATTTAGTCCTGCCACCCCAAAGAGATGGATTCTGCCAACAATATGAGTGAGTTCAGATGTAGATTCTCTAAGAACTTGAAAGTAACAGCCTTTCCCAGCTGACACCTCAGTTTTACCCTTGAGAGACAGATAAGCCAGCCAAGCCCACCTGGACTTGTGACCTACAGAACTGTGAAGAGAAAAAGAACTGGAATGGATCCAGTCATTCATTATTCACTATTAGAACTTGTTTTATTAAACTTTCCCCACCAATGACAATGTTTAATCCTTCTCTATGACTGAGATTTCATAGTGATCTGACTTGAAAATCACAAATATCCTAATGAGTTAGCTCAGCTTTGCTGCAAAGAAAGAGTTGACAGGGAGGCATTTACTTCTTCCAATAAAAAATAGAGGCAAACTCCATACTCCCCTCCAGTAAATGCAGTTAAATGCAGCTTTCAACCTGGCACAATCATTTTTCTGCCTCCATCCTTAACAAATGCCAGCAGAAACCACGACTGCTATCATATGCCGATCCTTATTCTATACATTTACATAAGGTCAAGCATGATAAGGGAACTGAAGGACCACAGAAACCACACATAAAGATTTTGAATGAAGAGTTGACCTTGAAAGTTTTTTCTCCCTGAGAGTCTATGTTACAGCTTACAAGCTTTCCTATGTCCATGCCCAAGCATATGCCAGTTATCTTTTCTAAGAACAGGAAGACTCAGATCCTTAATCAGAGTGTAATGCTGAAATAAAGTACATTAGATCTGGTTATTTTTTTTAAAAATTACTAAATACAACATACCTTCATTTACATCTTGGGCATTTTCTTGCAGGTCAGAGAAAATTGTAGGTTTCACCAAGACAACACCATAACCTTCATTATTATGTATGACATTATTCACCATGGATATTTTGGGAATGTCATAATGCTCATCTAAGAAGTCCTGTGACATTGAAAACAAATGTTTTAAAGAACTGTCACATTCAACACTGCCTGCTTTAAAAATCTCACTTTTTTCAGGCTATTCTAAAAATGAAGTAGAAAGCTATGCTTATTAATATGGTAGCACAGTCTGAGCTCTGAGTGACACAGTATTCCCATCATTTCTGCAAATCTATAGACAGCAAAGTATTTTCATAAGAAGCTTTCAATCACCAACTATTGATTATTAAAATTTATATATTGCTTACATCTTTTCAAAACCAGAGAATAAAACCCAACATGGAAATTTAATAAAATGTAATTATTTCTTAGGTGAAACCATTCCAATCTTTGGAAAGAGGGTGTTTCAGCAGGTGCTCACCTTAATGAGTATACCTTCCTTGCAGTGATGGATCCCATTGTCACTGAGGGTGCATTTACTTCCAGGATATATTTCTATGCCAGCACCCTACAAGTCATATTTTAAGGTAATGACAATCAGTTTTTAAAAGGCAGGACTGTATTTTGATAACATTATTCAGATTAAACATGGCAGTGTGAGAGGTGAGACAGAGATCTCCTCCTAAAACCACATATAATATGAAAATATAATTAATACAACTAATCCTGAAAGATCAACAGGAAAGAAGGCTGCACCAGACTGCATACACCTGGAGAAAGAGCAGACCTCTAGGAACAGGGTAACATACCAAAGCTGTGACCAATATCCCCTCAACAAAATATTAGCAAACCAACTCAAGCCCTTCCCCCATCCCAGCTCACCAGCAGGAGGAAGATAAACAGAGTGGGGAGAGAGTGGAGGCCCAGGACTGCTGAACACCTAGACCTGGAGATCTGCTCTGGGAGCACGAACCTACATTGCATGGTGCTCTCACGATTACAGGGGTCGGGAAGCTAAAACAGGCAGAATACCTGGAGAGACACAGATTCTAGCTGCTTGTGGAAAACAGGAATTCATATCCTAACAGCAAGAGAGCTGCTAAAAGGGCAAGGATTGCACAGAGCTTACTGCTCAGGAGAAAGGACAGGTAGACAAAATTGTCTGAGTGCACACTGCCCAGCAGGTTCGGAACTTAAATGATCTTCAGGCGCTCCATGCCCCTGGCTGGCTATGCAGCTCCAATGACACCCACCGTGATACACAGCCTCCTGCAACTTTTTCCCAGCTAGCCCGCACCTGAATCACAAACCAGCAGTCTCTGCCCTGGTGTCAGTCATGCCAGAGGGCAGCCCTGCCTACGGCAGCTACAAACACAAAGAACAGAGGCTTACACCTGTGTGCTTGGCCCACTAGTTCTGGAAGTGGGGACAGGCATAACAGTCAGGACACAAGAAACAGCTCTTTCCTCACCCCAGGCACCAGCACCACTCCACTGTGACCCCCGTCATCACTCCAACGGCAGATCAGCTCCAGAGAGTAGAGCGTCTGAGCACTAGAGAGTGCGACATAAAAATATGAAATATCAAAGGAACCTGGTTCAAAGCAAAATCTCAATACCAGACAAAGGACTGAGTAAGACTGAATTAATAAATCTTCCTGAAAGAGATTTAAACAAAGAAAGTCATCAACATTCTAACGGAGGTACAGAAAAATATTCAAGAACTCAGGAATAAATTTAGGATGGAGATCCATCATTGAAGAACACAATGGAGGGTATTAAAAGCAGGATATGGTGGAGGAGACAATAAATGAAATAGAAATTAGGGAAGAGAATTACAAAGAAGCTGAGGCACAGAGAGAAAAAAGGATCTCTAAGAATGAAAGAATACTGAGAGAATAGTGTGACCAATCCAAATAGAAGAATATTCTTATTATAGGGGAACCAGAATAAGAGAGAAAAAGAGATAGAAAGTGTCTTAGAGGAAGTAAGTGCTGAAAACTTCACCAATCTGGGAAGGATATTGTCCCCCAGGCCATAGAGGTACACAGATCTCCCAACACAAGGGACACAAGGAGGACAACACCAAGACATATAATAATTAAAAAGGCAAAGATCAAGGATAAGGATAAACTATTAAAAGCAACCAGAGAGAGAAAAACAAGATCACATACAAAGGAAAGCCCAACAGGCTATCATCAGACTTCTCAGCAGAAACCTTACAGGCCAGAAGGGAATGGCATATTTAATGCAATGAAGCGGAAGGGCCTCGAACTGAGAATACTTTATCCAGCAAGATTATCATTTAAATTTGAAGGAGGGATTAAACAATTTCCAGATAAACAACAGCTGAGAGAATTTAGTTTCCACAAACCATCTCTACAGTGTATTTTGGAGGGACTGCTATAGATGGAAATGTTCCTAAGGTTAAACAGCTGTCACCACAGTTAATAAAAGGGGATAGACAAAGAGTACAGAATATTATACCTAATATATAAAGAATGGAGGAGGAAAAACAGGAGGGGGAAAAAAAAAACTTTAGATTGTGTTTGTAATAGCATACTAAGTGAGTTAAGTTAGACTCTTAGGTAATAAGGAAGTTAACCTTGAACCTTTGGTGATCATGAATTTGAGGCCTGCAATGGCAATAAGTACATACGTATCAATAATCAACCTAAATGCAAATGGTCTGAATGCACCACTCAAAATATATAGAGTCACTGAATGGATAAAAAAAAAACAAGACCCAACTATACCCTGCCTACAAGAGGCTTACTTCAAACCCAAAGACATACACAGACTAAAAGTGAAGGGATGGAAAAAGTTATTTCATGCAACTAATAGGAAGAAAAAGCACATATTGCAGTACTTGTGTCAGACAAAACAGGCTTCAAAACAAAGAAAGTCACAAGAGACAAAGACTGACATTACATAATGATAAAGGGGCCAATCCAACAAGAGGATATAACCATTATAAATATCTATGAACCCAACAGAGGAGCACCTCCATATGTGAGACAAATACCAAAAGAATTAAAAGGGGAAATAGAATGCAATGCATTCATTCTAGAACACTTCAACACTCCACTCACTACAATGGACAGATAAACCAGACTGAAAATAAGGAGACACAGGCACTGAACAACACATTAGAACAGATGGACCTAACAAACATCTACAGAACTCTCCACCCAAAGAAGCAGAATACACATTCTTCTTAAGTGCACATGGAACATTTTCAAGAATAGATCATATAATTAAAAAGGCAAAGATCAAGGATAAGGATAAACTATTAAAAGCAACCAGAGAGAGAAAAACAAGATCACATACAAAGGAAAGCCCAACAGGCTATCATCAGACTTCTCAGCAGAAACCTTACAGGCCAGAAGGGAATGGCATATTTAATGCAATGAAGCGGAAGGGCCTCGAACTGAGAATACTTTATCCAGCAAGATTATCATTTAAATTTGAAGGAGGGATTAAACAATTTCCAGATAAACAACAGCTGAGAGAATTTAGTTTCCACAAACCATCTCTACAGTGTATTTTGGAGGGACTGCTATAGATGGAAATGTTCCTAAGGTTAAACAGCTGTCACCACAGTTAATAAAAGGGGATAGACAAAGAGTACAGAATATTATACCTAATATATAAAGAATGGAGGAGGAAAAACAGGAGGGGGAAAAAAAAAACTTTAGATTGTGTTTGTAATAGCATACTAAGTGAGTTAAGTTAGACTCTTAGGTAATAAGGAAGTTAACCTTGAACCTTTGGTGATCATGAATTTGAGGCCTGCAATGGCAATAAGTACATACGTATCAATAATCAACCTAAATGCAAATGGTCTGAATGCACCACTCAAAATATATAGAGTCACTGAATGGATAAAAAAAAAACAAGACCCAACTATACCCTGCCTACAAGAGGCTTACTTCAAACCCAAAGACATACACAGACTAAAAGTGAAGGGATGGAAAAAGTTATTTCATGCAACTAATAGGAAGAAAAAGCACATATTGCAGTACTTGTGTCAGACAAAACAGGCTTCAAAACAAAGAAAGTCACAAGAGACAAAGACTGACATTACATAATGATAAAGGGGCCAATCCAACAAGAGGATATAACCATTATAAATATCTATGAACCCAACAGAGGAGCACCTCCATATGTGAGACAAATACCAAAAGAATTAAAAGGGGAAATAGAATGCAATGCATTCATTCTAGAACACTTCAACACTCCACTCACTACAATGGACAGATAAACCAAACTGAAAATAAGGAGACACAGGCACTGAACAACACATTAGAACAGATGGACCTAACAAACATCTACAGAACTCTCCACCCAAAGAAGCAGAATACACATTCTTCTTAAGTGCACATGGAACATTTTCAAGAATAGATCACACTGGGCCACAAAAAGAGCCTCAATAAATTCAAAAAGATTGGAGTTGTACCATCCAGCTTCTCAGAAAACAAGGGTATGAAACTAGAAATAAACTGCACAAAGAAAACGAAAAAGCCTACAAACACATGGAGGCTTAACAACATGCTCCTGAATAACCAATGGATGAATGACCAAATAAAAACAGAGTTCAAGCAGTATATGGAGACAAATGACAACAATAACTCAACACCACAAAATCTGTGGGATGCAGCAAAGGCCATGCTAAGAGGGAAATACACTGCAATACAGGCCTACCACAGGAAAGAAGAACAATCCATATGAACAGTCTAAACTCACAATTAACGAAACTAGAAAAAGAAGAACAAATGCTCAAAGTCAGTAGAAGGAGGGACATAATAAAGATTAGATCGGGAATAAATAAAACCAAGAGGAATAAAACAATAGAAAGAATCAATGTAAGCAAGACCTGGTTCTTTGAGAAAATAAACAAAATAGATAAACCCCTAGCAAGACTTATCAAGAAAAAAAGAGAGTATACACACATAAACAGAATCAGAAATAAGAAAGGAAAAATCACTATGGACACCACAGAAATACAAAGAATTATTAGAGAACACTATGAAAAATTATATGCTAACAAACTGGATAACCTAGAAGAAATGGACAACTTTCTAGGAAAATACAACCTCCCAAGTCTAACCCAGAAAGAAACAGAAAATCTGAACAGACCAGTTACTAGCAATGAAATTGAACTGGTACTCATAAAACTACCTAAGAACAAAACCCCTGGAGCAGATGGCTTAACTGCTGAATTTTATCAAACATTTAGTGAAGATCGAATATCCATCCACCTTAAAGTTTTCCAAAAAAATAGAAGAGGAAGGAATACTACCAAACTCAGCATCACCCAAATATGAGAACCAGGCAAAGACACCACAAAAAAAGAAAATTACAGACCAATATCCCTGATGAACATAGATGCAAAAATACTCAACAAAATATTAGCAAACCAAATTCAAAAATATATCAAACAGATTATCCATCATGATCAAGTAGGATTTATTCCAGGGATGCAAGGATGGTACAACATTCAAAAATACATCACTATCATCCACCACTTCAACAAAAAGGACAAAAACCACATGATCATCTCCATAGA